AAGGGACAGTAAAAAGCAACACCTAGTACAGTGTTGCCAAAATTTGGCCACTTTAAGATGAGTGGACTTCAACCCCCAGAATCCCCCAGCCAGCCATGGTGGCTGGGGAATTCTGGGAGTTGAAGTCCACTCATCTTAAAGAGGCCAAGTTTGGACAACACTGACATAGTAGAACGGTCAGGAGGAAATGGGGGTGATGCTTTCCAGCTTTAGTCTCTGGGAAAGTGTGTCACCCAGCTTGCCTCCTGATTGGTGCATGAAGGAGGAGGAATGGCTAATAAGCATATACCGTAAATTATGTGCTGTTGGCAGTAAATCTAAGGTTCTAGGTAGGTGGGCTTTTTTTTTCTTAAATAGTGTTTTGATTTCATACAGCAAACACTGAGACTTGTGATTTTATACCACCAATGTTGGTATAATTGGCAATGTTTACATAAATGCATTTTTTTGCAATCTAGTACAGGAAAGGAAGAAAAAAGCTTTCTGCTGAGGCCCTCAGTAGCTCCTGTTCAATTTGGGAAGTTAGAAATTCTGCAGATCTTTTTAAGAGCCTATCTTTATGACCGAATACACTCCAGACCCTTACTTGGAAAACAGAAACAAGAATAACACAGCTGTCCTTGATTCAAGCTATTGGTCTTCCAAACTGTTATTTCATAAGCCATGATCATGCTTTTGTAGGCATGATGTGGTTGTATTGCAATGTAAGATCTGGGTTTTCTTTCTTAACCTCACTGTGGATTGTATTTAGGTATGAATTATTTTCAAAAGGTAAACTTGCAGCACTGTACACTCAATAAAAGTGGGTGGGACCTGCTGTTTAAGAAAGTTTAGCCTGGAGATCATAGCTTTGTTCTCATAATAATCCTGTCTTTACCTATATGTACTAAGTAAATCTTCTTAACATAGCAGGTGGGCCAGGTGGGGCCCTTTCCTTTCACTGGTGGGGGTGCAGTATTCTCTGTTTTTTAATCTCTCCCTTTGTAATTGCTGTTCCACAGAATTACAGTTGTCTCTCTTTAAATGTTTAAGCCAGCATCACTTTCCCATGAGATGCAAGCACCTTCCACCTCTCCTTCCTGCCTTGCTTCTAGTTCTCCATTTCATTCAGCCAAAGCATCTTTTCCTGAATCTGTTTCTGCATTTTCCAAGGCCACTGCTACCCATTCACCCCCTCTCCTTTCCAAACTGTCATACAGACAAGAGAAACATTCATCCAAGTTAAAGGTAATAGTACCTGCAAACTATGGAGATACTGCACGTCTTCTCAACTGCTTGACAAATGGAAAGCCTGGAGACTAACCTATTATTAAAATTTGGATTTGCTGGTGACTAATATTTAATATTGCAAGCATGCAATCAAATCAAATGTTTTTAGATGAATGTTTTAAATGTATTGAAATTACTTAGTACCCAAGTCTTACAAGTATGCAAGGCTCACTGAAATAGGGGGTTGGAATGATCATAGGTCCATTTTTGGAACACAGTATCAGGCAATGTTTATGTTTCCCAGTTCTTCTAATCCATTTCTTATATAAATTTTATCAATTAAGATCTCATTCAAAATCTATTAAATCAAATAAAAAAATTACCATCCATTTTCATGGCCAAGACCTTTACCTGCTAAGTCCCATTAATGCTAGAATTATCTGCCAGTATAGATTTTGAAGGTGCTGAAATTCTGAAGACGTTAATAACCACATATTCAAAAATCAATTTCTTTAATACTATAGCCAGCGTATTCCCTCTCACTGTTGAGACTTATTCCTCTCATGGGTCTCTGCCAGCAGAAATCAAGAACAAGTGAATAAAGAAGCTAGCCTAGAAACAACATCTCAATATGCAATTGCTCCCAACTGACAGAAGCATTTAGCAGTCTTTCTTAAGATGAGTAGGAAAATGATCTGGGATCTGGGAAACCCTCTAGGAATGAGCAAGTGGAGGAGACAATTAACAAACTCTGTTCTAGTTAATTCATTTTAGGAAAAGACTTCACATGGCTCTGGGTCTCTTCTTGGATTAATGTCATTTCATCTCATGATTGGTTCAGAGAGAGACAGAGACTACAGCAGCCCCAGATTAACGTACAGATGATATGGACAAAAGTTGAGAAGTAGTAGAAGGTGACAATTATAACCCTCCGCTTAAAAGTCCCTGCCCATTATAAAGTTAGGCATCAACTGTTAATGCAGCAAGGAATCCTGTTGGCATTTTAACAGCTATACGTGCAAGAACTGCTGCAATACCACCAAGAAATTGCCAATCATTTGCTTTTTCTAATTCAAAGAGAACTCTTATTTTGAGTTTTTTTTCAGTGGTAACAAAAATACGAAATCTGCAACCCACATTCTTGGCTTTAGCATTTCACAAGTTAAGGAGACACAGGTGAATATGCAAAGCACATATATAGATTTTTACAGGTATCTTTCTTGTGTGTTATTTTTTTCTTTCGGGCTGTGAAGTGTTAGCAGTGGGTTAGCCTTGGATTTCCCCCCAGTGTTATCTGCATAGCTGATCAAATCTTCTATCCCAGGCAGATTTGAAAAGCAGTCCAATTGTATAGGCATTATGAATTTAAATGCAAGGGATTCTCTTTGAAAGGAAGGCGACAGCAGTCATTTTCAGGCATAGTAGATTAACAGATCTGCATGTCATTTGTGTTCTTTGGAGATGAAAAATTGATTTCCCAGCTTGCAGGAATGAAACCACAAGAGACTGCCCATCTAGGCTTTTAGATGAATTGACTAGTGTTTATGGTTTTTCCAGGATGATTTAAAAAGAGAGATCTCTGTCATCGGCAAACCTCCTCGTAGCCCTGTTTTGACTAGGAGATCTTGTGGCTCAGCTGTCAGAGGGCACAGCTATTCACATAGGGTATGGTACGACATGGCCCCATATGTATTACCAGGTTTCCCCCTAGCTGGAACCGGAATTTGGAACTGGTTACTGGATCTGGAATTCACATGTTCAAATAATTCTAATGGTCTTTCTTTCTAATGTGCTGCTGTTGAAAATGTTTTGAGTGGTAACAGTGTGAAAGCCATAGTACCTTGTGCTTGATTTGCACAGTTCCATTGGTAGAATGTAAAGTGAAGCTATTGCATGTGGCCACTAAACCATCCTTTAAAAAAGCAAATCTTTAACCACTCGAATTTGTATTTAACTTCTCCCCTTGTAAATAGCTCCTCTTGTTTCAAAGTATTTTACTTATGAGGCTGTTAACAGTGGCTACATAAGAAAGCCTCTTTGTACCTTTCATGGGTTCCATAATGTTTAAGTCATTGTTCTTTGTTTTCAACTGCATGCCCCTGTTTTTCAAAATATTTTGCTGCTATAGCAACATATATTGCATTGATTTGATAACATGCTTTCTCATAGCATTGCTTCTTCTAGAGTTGTCATTTGCATTAGCTTTTCCATGCATATATGCTTAAAAACATATATCCTTTTCAAATTGCAGTTTCTTCTTAGTAACTTGATTCTCAACCTCCTCTGCTCATAGATAAACGTGTGATTTACACATTTTGTGTTGAAGCCAGATGTTAAATATATCCAATTGTCTGTTTTCCATAATAAGATTTGTTTGTCTGAACTTCATGGAAAGGATTAGGAAGAAGAAAACAGTGTATTCAGATAAAGCATTCTAGAACTTTCAGTTATGTTGGTGTCAATTCCGGTAATGAACAACTTGAATGGCTCATAATGGCTCAAAGTTATAAAAGAGTACCAGATGGGGGCCGATTGAAGTGAACAGATTTGAAAAATTGCTGAGTGTTGTAACAGTATCCAACTAAATGGGTGAACTACTACATACCCACCTGTAAAGCTAATACTAAGTAGGGCTGCTTAACCAATTTCATCTGGTATGAAAGCTTAAGTGTTTTCAATTAGATTCATAGCTCTTGACCATTGTTGATGACTCCTTGCTCTCTGCTTTTGATTCCTCCATTGCAATTTGACAGGAACATTCTTGAGCACTGATTAGATTCTGTAACTGATGTGGGCTAATGTCCTCCACTATATACCTGTGCTCCAGTGATTGCGCTATCTTCTTGTAACTCTCTGGGAAAAAATCAAACCATAGGAATAGACCTGAAAAAAATTCTGAAGAGCTCAGATCAGATATAATAAAATATCCTTTCTTTCCTAGGCACCATCATAACTTCAGTTGTGGACAGTCAGTAGCATTGATGAAGAAATGTCAGGACCTTTCTTATTAAAACATTTTAGGGGCTTTAAATAATAATTGGTAGTCACAGAAGTGTTCACATGTGCCCTATAATGATTGAACATAATTCATCTGAGCATCTTCTAAAGTAAATATACAGTTAACATGTAATAGCAGGCTTAGATATCTGTGGAGCTTAAATAAATCTAACCTATTTTAACTTTCAGGAGTTTACTTTTAATTCTCTCGTGCATGCAGTCACAAGAAAAGGCACAGCTGCTTTAAGGTGTTGCATGCGGGTCTATATTCACACTCCTGTGCATTCCAAAGTGCATTTTGGAAATCCAATCTGAAGTGCTACATAGTCAAGAGAGACAGCAGTTTAGCCATGAAATTAGCTAAACAAATGAGCATATTGGCACAAGAGAGTTTCATGCATGTACTAAACAAAAGAGTGTAATGCATTTTCTTATAAACAGCCTCTGATCAACTTATTTTCAAGCTTTGACTGATTCACTTGTTTGCATTGTTATTTGCATATGGAGAATGTTTTAAATGTATGTGTTAAACTCTTAGGCTCTAGCATGTACCTAATGGCAACTGCATAAGACTTAGATTCAGATTTAAAGTAATCCTTCCAAAATCGATGAAGTTTGAGTTACTTCTGATGTCTGCAAGGTCCTATTTTAAGTCTGAATCTCAAGTAATATCATTGCATGTATTCCCATTCAGGAAATCTTGAAGCAACAAATAAACTGCTTTCTAATTTCTGCAGACAGTTAGAAAAATATTCTAGAGTAACAGTTGTATACTGTTTCTATCAAGCAACATGTTTTATAGTTATATTATTCTGTCTAGAAAATTAAAATGGCTCTCATGCTTTTTCAATGTTAGTTTTGACATAGTCTGTATAATGTAACAAACCAGAACTGTTGTGTCTTTTATAAAACAAGTTCAGGTTAATGTATGAACATGTTATTGCATGGAAATCAGAGGAGATTACAATGTTCTCTATCTGGATTAACAAATTTGGATAGAATCTAGTTTTTCTCTTAATTAAGCATTCCTTTTTTCCTACTGAAAACGATAGGATTGAAAGAGTCGTCTTTAGCTAAATTATGTCCCATAGAATTAAAGCAGAAGTTTGAAGTAATTTAGAAATTGCACAATCCATATTGGCACAGGTGACTAGACACAGAAACTGGTGAATCACAACTCAACTAAACAATTTATTAAGATGCATTCATCCTTTGAATAGCTACCAAGATTGTGGTGTATGATTTAGTTCATAATTCCAATTGTGCCAATGTCTTTTTGGAAATAATTGGTAAGATTGACGTTTATGTAAACCTAAATCATAAGGAAACTTCAGAGAGGTTATATAGATACATCTCAAGGGCTATTCTCTGGAATAATAGATTGGGCAAGAGAAACAAATGGATCCTAAAATATAAATTCCCATTTATATTTGCCAAATTCCCACCTTTACCTTAAGTTTTATTTATAACCTCAACTTAACTTTCCAGTCATCAGGCCATTTTCTACAACTTTTTTAGGAGTGTGTAATACTGAATTAATGACTTACTGGGTAGAACCCATTTACATTGATTTTTGATAAACAGCTGCTGTTCTTTTGCTCTCTTCTCCTTTCTAAGGAATCCTTAAGCAAACAAGCCAACAAACAAAAACCTCTCAAGGCCAGGTGGCATGAAAGCAGAGTTTCTCTGAGAGGGTACTTCTCTAAGAATGTTATCCTCCTGACTAGTCATAGGGAATGGCTGCTCCTTGTTGATGAAAAGCATTTGAATTGTAATGAGGCTGTTTTCCCCCACTATTTGCTTATGTAATGCTATTGTAATCTCTGTGACACTAATGGTGTTTGAAAACACAGAGGCTAAAACTCATCTGCTCTCTTTGGCATGGCAAGGTTTAGGCTGAGAAAGATAAAGAGGCTTGCACAGTGGAAAAGGCCTAGAGTTTCTTCTTTTTTCCCATCTTTTAACCAGCTTTTTTTTTCTTAATGAGGCCAAATAAAATATGGGCAGATACTAGAATAGACTTGTACAACTCATGGCCCCCTCAGGTGTGTACAGTTCTAAGCTGTATCTTATCTGCTGCTAAGTAAACCTGGTTTTCATACAGCCCCAGATCAGGGACTGGTTTAAAGGACTTAGTGAGCTGACTTTTATGGAAGACTGTGCTAAATTAAATTGATTATAGTGTATACTCTTACTACATTTCAACTCATTTCATTTCAGCCACAGCGCCCTGTGTTTGCTCATGAAAATATACAC